CATGTATCGAGGCTGAGTCGCTAAGCCAAATGCGATGCTACGGCGCAACAGGCGATGGCCTCGCAGGTGGGGCATGAGAGTTTGCATCTCGGCAGCCGGAATTTTGTGAAGACCACTGGAAAACAGCAAAATATCTACTCGATCGCTCGGCGCATCCGACAAACATCAGGACAATTGCTGGTCCGTTGGCCAGTCTTCTTATTGGAGCGAACTGTGGCCAACTTGGGAATACTTCGTAACCTAAGAAGAGGAACGTAGAGAAGCTTCGTATTCTATTCGTCACCTCGCCCGGGCCATTCCTTGTCATCAACAGAACAGTAATATTACGTTCTCCAATATGCTACACGTTGTCTAATGAGCCCATTCATAAAGCTCTTTGTGATCCGTTTGCATGCATATCTTGCCCGCAAAAAATGACGTGGGCGCGGTGATGAAAATGTGATGAAGTGACAAGTAGTCATAAAAACATGAGTTAGAAAAGGTGTGCAGATAAGCAAAAGTGGCGATGCATGAACGACCGAGAAGTCTATTGTGTTCTCAAGGTAGATTGAAAACCTGGTTTTGTATGAACTACAAAAAAAAAACAAGAATATTACGCAAGAAATTTGCTTAAAATGTAGGATAAATAACTAAAGTGAGGATACCAACTTTCTATATCAACTTTGTTGAATTCGATTTTCTTCCTCTCAATGGATGGTTCCGGCATTTGGTTAGGGGAACTAGACGATGACCGCTGACTGGGTGCCGCTGAAAATTATAACAATTCAATGAAACCTAGGGAAATTCAACCTTTACGAAGCCGAGTGCATCGAAGTGTGAAAGTTCTCGATAGACGCTATACAAACATTATGGATCCATTCGTTCAATATTATGACCACTATTGATGTAGGAAAGATTTTAAAAAATGTTATTCTCCTAGAACAACAGAGGGATATGTAATTCGCTAAAAGTGTCTGTTGGTTTGTCGGTGTGTTTCTGTGTGTATTGTGTCGGTGTGTGGGTCTGACCGGAAATTCATAATTCCTGTCCCCGTGGACCTAGAGTGAGTGTCCAAATTTGGTAGGAGTGCAGGGGGCAGGATGGGAACACTTATGGTGGGGGGCGGGACCGGACCCCGCTCACAGGGGCGAGGCGTGCGCGACAGAAATTTTGGGCCGCAAATTCATAACTCCTGTTTACAAGGACCTAGAGCGTTAAAGTTGGTAGGATGGCACTTATCGTGTTGGGAGTGGAGCCGCGGCATTTAAACAAGTGATGTAGGATATAACGGGATCGTAGCTACTCGGTGACAAGAACTGATAATAAAAGATGAGGGACCCAAGAGAGGCCATCAACCGATTAAAATCCTTACGCCTTCGGTATTTACGATGTAGCTTTGACTGTTCAGTATGCTTCATTCCATAAGAAGGGGTGCTAGAGTAGAGTGACAAAAGTACGTGGTAAGTGCAGTGATAGGGACCCATTACGACAATACGACAAGCAGATTAGAGTTCTGTTCATTTCTTGTTATTGGATTACCGCTACGGAGCAAGGTTTGTGACTTAATGAATGACCCTCTTTGGTCGATATCATTTGTGACAAAACGTAGTCGATCGCCAGTAATCTGGAATTCTCAACTAATGATATCTCCGCAAAGAAAAGAGTCCATGATAAGGACAACTTATGGAAGTGTTATCATCACTCAAAACATTTGTGAGTACCGCCCAAGGCTTTGGTTGCTAACAGTTGAATCTTTATTTTATTTACTTAACTGTTCGCGCGTGCCATCTCACGCACCTTAAAAGGGTGAGACATAACCGTTATTGTGGTTGGCTAAGAAGAGTCTAGACATCGATAGCGAGAATATCGAGCAACTATTATCACCCTAATTTACGAGTAGAGTAGCACAAAACCATATATACCAGAAATGAAAACAGGACCATAAATAGAGAACAAGACCACCTATTGGGGATTATTTCTAAGAAAGAAAGCAAAAGGTCGAGACTTTCAATTAAAGGCATCAGCAACAACCTACACTTAATACCGTTTGTACTGCCCCGTTAGTCCTGGGTCAATGTGTCGTGTACAGGAAACTATTTATTTCAAAAAAGGAGTGGAGAGCTAGCCGATTACAACAACCTTGTCAAAGGAGGGAAGCCCGGCGCTAGACGGGCGAACCGACTGGTAATGCAAAAGTTACAAACAAAAGGTAATACAAAGTGAGCTTCAGATAAAAAGCCGGTTAGCGTTGACAGGAATTACACAGCATGCTAGACCGTTGATTAGATATTCCGGTACTATTCTACTATTACACCCCCAGAACTATTCTACTGTTACACCCCCAAAAACTCAAAATTTTAATTTTCGATGAAACTTCGCCTATAGGGGTAATCCGATGTCCTGATAACGAATATGACCTTCATTTTTGGCGTTGGCGCCAAATTGGCGCCAATTGGAGCCAAATGGCGTGAGCGCCAAAAATGAATGTTATATTCGTTATCAGGACC